GGTAGGCGCTGGTTTTTACATGCACTCAATCTTCACTTTGACTTATATTAAAGTAATTTATTTTCCGTACAGTATCCATTGTCTTACTATTTCCGTTTAGATCCACATGAATCCGACATAAATCCAAATGAAGCACAGTAGAAAACTGTTCCCATCACCAACACCTGAACAGAATCACGCTAGACCTTAAATAATCCAACCGCCCTTCAGACAAATACACCCCCTGGTGGCCATAAACACAAGAAAAGATAAATGGCTCCTACAACCACGGATGAAGTTATGTAGAAGTTTAAAGTAGGTTTAGGACATACAACAATATGCCACGCTTTTAACATCTCATGCCCCAGTGTCCAATCAATCATCTGAAAATATGACACAACTACAAACCTACCGAGACGCAGCAGTCCATCTAAAACAGGAGTCTGCAACACATTTCTCAGTTCAAAAAGATGATGGCCCATGAAAATCTGATCAAAGTATTGATTACTGGTACTCTTAGAGTCATTCTGTTTTGAAAATTCAGCACAAACTCGCACTTGTTGTTATATCTACAATTAAAACATCAATTAGTTTTTTATCAATTTAAGCAAACGTTATTAGGAGACTCAGAAGATTCACTTTCGTCACTGCAGACCTCTGACCTAAACTGACACGCAACAAGAGGAGCATTAATCAGATTAATCACTAATCTGAAGCCAATGTTGGAAGAAAATCATAAGAAGTCCCATTTGTAGTTTTACATCAACCATGTTGGGCAAAAGGCAAACATAATTTTTCCTTTTGAGTCTCGAGGCTCATGAAAAATCTTGCTTACTTGAAACTCCATCATGTCCTTTTCTTGTTGAGGCCAATGAGATAATATCATCTAAAGAAGGAAACATAAAGGAAGCATAAAGTTGCTAAACTGACAGCACCAATCCACAAAATCAGCAATAAATTGCAGCCCTTGACTGAAACAGTTAATATTCTTAAAACATAAAACGCTGGAAAGGTTTATTAACATCTCTAGATAATGTTGTACCGTCTTGTTAGGCAATGGATTGGCTTTTTACGATGCATGTCCACTTCAAGGTAACCAACTTATGACACCCATGATAATCAACCTCTGCTATAAACCTTTTAGAGTGACAACAACAATTATTTAAAGAGATTTATTGCTGTTATTTCTGTATCTCTCAGTGTTAAACAAGCAACACAGTTATATTTTGGAGCTTTATGTTTGGTTTCTTTGTCCACATTTATTTCCAGTAATGCGTGAGAAGGACCAGCTCCAGAAGTCTTTATTTGTCTTGGAGTGACGTTTGGATGTAAAGTTAGTGGTTCTCAGTGGAAAATCCCTCTATGCTACCTACACTGCATACCCGCTGCTGTCTTTTCCTCTTCTTCGCTGCAGCAGTGATTCATGAAGGGACACAGGGGTCCCATCATCAGACGGCGCTGAAAGGATTCCAAAGTCTCCGTCCTCCCCGTCCTCTCAAGCTTCAAGTCTTTCAGTGCCGCACTGTCCCTCACTTCCTTTTATAGCCTCGTCCCTCTGCTGGTTTGTATCTGTGTCGTATTGTGTCCCCTGGCGTTCTCCGCGTATCCCTGAAGAGGAGACTTGGCAGACACTCTGTCCTCCCTCTTCCTCTCCCAGCTTGTCCTCCTCACATTTCAGCGGCCTCCTTTTCCCCGTGCCCTCCTCGAACACGTGCGTTTCTGTCTGCCTTTGGGTCTGTCCTCAGTGGAGGTGAGACTCTTGGGTGAGCTCAGATGGAAGGATTGCTTAAGCTGTGTTTACAGAGAGCGAATCCATACTCTGTTCTCACAAAACGCCTGGATTTTCTCACCCGGCTTCAACAGGTGCTCGCACACTGATTTCATTCCTGTAAGTTGTTTGAGACTGACTCATGGTGATTCTGCACTAAAACTAAAACGGGGGCTTTTATTTCGGCTTATGAGAACTTTAATCAGGACAAAGCAGAAATGTCTCATCAGGACAGGGCGCTCACTGCTCCCATTGTGCTTTTCACAATGTCCTGTTCCCTGGAAGAATGACATAAACCACTACTTTCCATCCCAGCTGTGGTCTAATTGATGGGAATGAATTATTTCTTGTCATGGGAGGAATGTTAACAAAATATAATGCACACTTTGTGATAACATTACCATGTCCGATTTCTCTCTCTCTCTCTCAGACGTCTGTTACCACTTCAGCCCAGACAGTTATATCTCTGAAGCTATTTAATGATCTGTCATGATACTTGGGGCCAGACATGACCGCTGCCAAGAAAATTAACTCTTCTCCATCATACAAATAGCTGAATCTTACACACAGAGACGGCTCTCACTACAGCCCATATGGGCGGTTGCCCAGGGCACCATTAGAAAAGAGCAGACAAACACCATTAATATATATATAGTATGTTGTTGGTTAGGCACTGAACGTTGAGAGATTGTCGGGGGGGGGGGTTGTTTTCATTTATATCTTTTTTTTCTGTAACTTTCTTGGTGCAATCTTTGACTATTCTCAACCAGGATGTTTTTAAAAGTACCCATAATCACCTTTTTTCTAAAATCTGTAATCAGTGTAGTTATGCAGCTTATCTTTAACCAGACCACATGTTTCAGTTTCAATGCTTAAGACAATTAGAAGATGTCCAAGTCCTGAAAATGCATTAAAAATTACCGTTTTTGCTTCAAATCAAGATTTATACATCTTAAAGAAATTTTCTTCAGTCTTGGTGTAAAGACTTGACTAGTCAAGATATTTTACATTTTAAACTATAAGTGTTCAAGTGGAATTATTAGACTAATGTGAACTAGCCCTTTTGTATGGAGTAATGATATTTTTTTTGTTTTGTTTTACGACGCTACACAACGCACACAGATTCACTTTGATAAAAAAACGTTGCGATGTTTAGTATCGCCCCCACTGATTCCTAAAATGCTCATTTTTGCCTATCACAATCTCTAAGTCTATCTGCCAGATCATCTTTTAGACTTTTATTGTTTTAGAACAACGAGCACAGTGGTTCTCAGACCTCTCATGTTTTCACATAACACGAATAAATCCCATCTGTCGTAGATCATCTTATTAGCGTTGTGAGCAGAGGGACTATCAAAATGAAAATGTCTCAAGCTGGTCGAGTCCAGAGCACAAACGTGACTAATCCCAGGTTGAATTAGTTCAGTTTGTCGCAGGAAGTCCTGATTAAAAGAGTGGTCCGCAGGGATCTTGAGTGAAGTCTCTGTTCGACCTGAGGCCAGTTCTGGAGAGGAAGGTCGAGCCTTGTCGGCCCGGGGCAGAAACCAGAGCCGTGTTTATGCTGGAGCTCAGCCACTGGAGCACTTTGGGAGTTTCTGCGCTGCCTTGTCTTTTGCTCCGGTTCATGTTCTACTTTAGAGCCCTGCACCCTGCAGAGTGACCTGACCCACTGACCCTGCTCTTCCCTCTCCCTTACTGCTCTGCTTAGATTTCAGAACATATGCTATGTTTCTGTGGTTTACCTTGTTCTAGGGTTGCAAACTATATTTCCTAGAATTTTGTGAAAGTATTTCAACTCCTTGCGCAGCATCCTGAACCCACCATCTGCACAGCGAAATGATGATGTTGTTGCAACACCAGGCTGTGAATATGCTTTTGTTCAGCGGGAACAGCCAACCTGATCAGGGATGATGGGAAAATGTCTGGAGCTGAATGTAGGACAATCCTGGAAGAAATCCAGTTGAAACTGGGGAAAAGACAATGACTCATAAATAGCGCCAGAGCAACAATACACCAAAGCGTAGTGACATTAAGGTGGAATATTCACCAACCAGACCTTAATTGAGAATCAGTGGCTTTAGCTGGAAATGAACAACTATAGACACTTTCCCTGCCAATCTCAATAAGCTTGAGGTAGTTTGCAAAAAAGGCATGGCCAAGACATACGAAAACCTTGCAGTAACTATATTTGTGGAACATTTTCCACAAACTTCATTTCAAGTTTGTGCTTGTAACTTGACAAAATGTGAACAAGTGTGAGTATATATACTTTACTGATCAAACAGCTTTTCGATGAACTTTTTCCTCCTATGTCCTTCTTGGTTCAAGTCTCAGCAAGGATAGCTGTTCTTGTCTTCTGTAGGTAGATTGGGACACAAAGAGACAGCAGCTCTTAAACTTTCCAAGAGGAGAAGAGAGAGAGGCTTTAGTAGGAAGCTGAAGGAGTTTTGCTGCTTATCAAGAGAAAAGAAAAAAAAACGTGAAAGCTTATTATGGGTTCCACAAGATTTCCACCTTAAGAAGGCAGTTAGACAGCTCCCATGTGTTTATCAAGATTTGCTCAAGTTTAAGTAGGCCAACGCAAACATGCTGATGTTTGATGTTTCGGTTTGTGTGTGTGTGTGTGTGTGTGTGTGTGTGTGTGTGTGCGCGCTAAAGTTAAAATGTGATTATTTGCTAAAGCCCACTGTAGATCAATTGCCGGAAGGAAAGCACGAGCAGAAAGTATAAACTCACCCTTCTGACTTGCTTCCCCATTTTTCAACCAGTTTTAAAATTTTGTTGTTTTTTTTGTTCTATTTCCCCTTTTGGTTTTTGAGAACAATGTTTCATAATAAAACAAAACTGAAAGCATCTTCCAACCTCCCTGTTAAGAATATATTCAGTGGAAAAAACCCCCACATAATTTCAATCGTTATTTTATATAGTTGAGACCAAGCATCTGCACAAGACTTGCACTGTGATGGAAACAATTACCCCCACCCACATACGAAGAACTTGCCCAGAAAACAGCAACCAGCATTATTTTCTCAGAATGCTCCTGATGTGGTTCTGGGTTTACTCTGAACACAAGGAATCCATAAACCGCCTCAAGAACTTTGAGTACGATTGCTTATTTGCACATCATGAATTAAGAGCTTTGTACAGGTGAAGAAATGGCAAGAAGATACAAAATGCTCAAAGTGTTAAAAATGGGTCTGTNGGGTTCAAGTTTTCTTACCCACATGCAAGAACACGCTCAGGAGAACAAAATCAGTTAAATAAGTTTATTTAAAGGGAAAGGGGTAAGGGGACGATGGTCGGAGATTGGTAAGAGGAATCAGAACGTCTGATTTCAGGAAGGGAGAGTGGAAGCGCAGACCTGCTGCAGAGGCGTGGGTTCCAGGTTCCGGCAGACTGAGTCGACGGAGAGCGTTGGAGAGCGGACAGGTAAGTGTGCTGTGGACGGACAGAGCCGCTGGCGGAGGTCCAGGTCTAATATAGCTCCCGGGGCTAGGGCGACCTGCGGGTAGCTGGTGGCGTCTCAAGGTGAGTCCGCAGGGGTGGATCAGGAGAAGGTAAGTGCACGGAGTATGGCGTCCGATAGGTAAGACCTATGGCGTCGTGGAGGTGGCTCACAGGGAGATCAGGGAAGGACAGCGTTCACTGACGAACTCGGCAAACACGGGGAAACACCTGACGAGGAGAACACAACGAGGAATAACTCAGAGGCAGAAGCACGACGAGGAAATTCTCAGAGGTAGTCACTAGGCCGTCGGGGAGAAACGTTACCCATGGAAGGCAACACTCAGGCACTGGAGTGTTGGCCAGACGCTCCATAAATACACCACAGCAGCCAGCTCCAGATTAGACACAGGTGTGCCTACGGGGTTGGCACCGCATCTCTCCAGGGGCTCAGTCATCCGGTGACATCTGGTGGACAGGGAAGGAAGCAGCAGGCAAACCAAAAAGGAAAAAGGAAAACAAAACAGAACTCGGGCCATGACAGAATTATGTTTTATTGCCTTTGGTCCTTAAGATATAGTTTATAATATTCACATAGAATATTTTGTCCCTTGTACATTTGTGACTTTTGTTTTACAGGGACTAAAGGATGCAGTTGTACAAAAACGTATCAAGCTTAGGAGGCCATATTGTGGTTGTGTCGTTGCTGTAACAGAATAAAACTGACACGATTTTGTTTGTGCGTATTCCGTCCTTATTTTTATGCGAAATAAACTTTGGTCCTTTTTTGGTTGACATATATTTGCTGGCCAACGTGAATGGAGATAGAGACGACAGGAGGACTGCAAAATATATTGTGAACTTAAAAAAACCCGCTTGCTACAGTTGGCTGCAGTTACTAATAAGCTGTCTATATGTTTTAATATGCAATTACATTTTTCAGTTAGAGCTATTAAGATTTTGGTGGCGCAAAGCATACATCCTTAATAAATTACATGACAAGATTCGGAGCTGTAGACATCTTTAGGTCGCCTTATTGATATCGGGCTGCCCTAAGAAATAATAGCAAAGGATCCGTGAGCGTTTTAAAGAGATCAGTGCTTCTTCCTTGCAGAGTCAGCCAGCCACACACACCCCCACACACACCAGCCGTGTCCAGCCTTGTTCTTGCTCCTTAATGTGGCCATGCTCCATTACTCTCCTTTTTATCTAATAAGCTAGTCTAGCTGGTGGAAATAAGCAATGGGCCGGCATGGGCGCAGCCTTTTGCTGTTCGGCTCTGCCGTGCTTGGACGCGGCCAAAGCCTCTCCGACCACAGACACTGTTGGCAAGCTCTTGTGTCATTTCTCAGGGGCGTTTGCTTCTGATCACGACGGGCTGCCTTCGTCCAACTGACTGTTATCTTCCACGCATAAATTCACTGAGCCAAAGCTTGCAGGTACACTGATGTAGATGTGGAAGCTGGAGGAGACCAAGATGAGGAGAGGTTGTGTAAGGGGAAAAGATATAAGAGCCTTTTAGTCCGCCTTGGGCCAAATTGTCTCAGAATTAAATCCAAGGAGCTGTTTTTAATCTTTTGCAAATTAAGTTACTATGAATCTTTACTTTTGTACAAGTAAAGATGTTATTTTTTTGCTATCTTTCTGAACATTTTTGGGTTCAAATCCGATTTTGCACCATCCTTTATAGAATTTTACTAAAACTTAGTTATCTTTACGGAGAAGCTTAAGGTAACACAAGTCAGTTGGAGTTATTGTCTTTCCTGGCCTGGAGCGAGTCATCCTCGTGTATTACAAGAGCACAGTTTAGGAGAAGCACATCTTCTTTCACCCCCAGTTGTTTCCTGGTTGCATAACCCTACCAACAGACCTCTAATCAGTACAGCCTAGCATTTAGGCACTAGCACCTAAATCCTCTTTACTCGCATTCATAATCAGATAAGAGAGAACCTCCTCGATTATAGGTGGCATGAGTTCTTATGGCCCCCGCATGGGAGTTGAGGGAGCAGCATTTATCATCTGGATGTTCCAGGACACACTTAAAACCCAGTCCCTCGTATACCACTCGCTTTATTTTCTCCATATACGTCAGCTGCAAAGTGGAGATTTTTTTAAGGTTGGATAATTTCTGTAAGGTTTTGGTTAAATTTAGAGAAACATAAGCACTCAGGTTTTAGCTATAGCCTCCAAACGGTTGTGACCAGGTGCTTTTTTTCTTCCATCCTTCATCGTTGTGAATTAATGCTATGAAAACAATAACTTATTTTATTAATTAATACTGTTATGAATACTTACCACAACAAAACCAAATTGTCTTTGTGGTAATCAAACATCTAAATAGAGTCATAATTACTGATACAATTATTAAAAAAAAAAAAATGTTTTCCACTTTTCCAGACAGTTAAACACTGCTTTCAAAAGGAGAATAGATTAAACATAGTTTGCCAGGATTAAGTTTTATTGAAAATAAATCATGAAGGAAGATCTTATAGTTTACAAAAGACTGCAGAAAATGCTACGTGGCTAATTCCTGCTTGATACCTGTTGCTGCTTGTGTTGTACAAGAATGAAGTTTATTTAAAAATGACAACTAAATTGAGAGAGTGTCTAATTCTATATTTTGAGTAAAAACTCATAGAGTTTGACTTTAAATTTTCCATCTCAACTTACAATTGAGGTGTAATTTAGCCCTTGCTGATCATGATGTCATTAGCTAAAAGAAACATGAATCATGCACTTGTGACAATCATTTCAAATGTAGCTGACATTGATTTGTAACAGAATGACAGTCAACTTCATTGTTTTCTCACTCTCCATATTTGTGTCTGTGTCAAAGCATAATTATTAAAAATGGTAAATAGATGTGATACAGTGAAACCGTGGTATTTTTGCCCCAAATTGTCATGCTATTAATGTCAAACTAGAACAGGTCAATAAAGTATATTCTGTTCTTTTAATCTTATTGTAGCCCATGGCTTAATATGGCACACAGAAGGAAAAAACCCTACAAATGAACAAAACCCAAGCGTGGCATTGCGCATTATGATTCCGCGTTGGATTTTGCATGCAGAGGAATTAACGTCAAGACGCATCTCAGGTGTCTCAAAGGAGCCCACTGGACTGGCCTAGAGCTTATTGCGCTTGGCTGTGTGCATTATGATTCACAAATGGGGGGCATCATTTGGTAAATCTCATGAGGCACAGCTCATCTTAAATATCCTCACTGTTAAAAGAGGCAAAATGTGCGTGGGGGAGGGAGAACACGTATGCTGATGAAGGAAAACTCTAGCATAAGTTCATTTTGTAAACAACACAACCAGTGTAAGCCAGGGCTAATGAGAGAGGCCAGATGGTGTTGGAGGCCAGGTTCTACGAGTAATTGCACCTGTCATCACTGGAGCATAACTACTGAGGATTTGCTAACTAAACACGCCTTTTGCTCCAGTATTACAACCCGAAAAATCATTTTCATGGATGATTTAGCTGTCTCAGAGCCCACATGGTTTGCTTTTCTTTAATACAGTCTTTAAAATAACTAACGACATATAATTTATGGGGAAATAAAGAAGCAAAAATAAATATACTTATAATATTTTAGATGGGAAAACAAAACACAGTAATTTCGCATTGATTTATGTCTTATCCATGTATAGATCAGAGACATCAATGCTTCCCATATCTACTGTAGAATGAAAATAGCCAGAAAAGCACAATACACATAATTGTTTACCTACTTAATTTTTAGAGAATTTGATGGCAGGGTGACAAAAAAAATATCAGTAAATGCAGACCAACTTATTTATGAATAGAAAATACTTATATTAAATTTTTTTTTCTGTAGTTCGTGAGGGGATTCTAGAAAATTACTTTAAATCATCAAAGAAGATACAAAACTTCCCTGGAGAGTGTTCAAATTAAATCAGTATCTGTTTGAAATGAGCTTTGGCACCTAAAGTACCCGAAAAGTCAGCTACAAAACAGTCAAACCTGCAAACACGCAAAAAAGTTGATGCAGTAATAGTTATGCAATGAGATCCTTACAACTGGTTTTATGGTAACCGGAAACTTTTTCGACAATTAGATTATTGCAGGCCATGAAAAATGGCAATGAAGGTTGTATAACTCTTACACTGGGTAGTCAAGATTTCTTTTGTTTTAACTTTTTTTTTTATTATTTCACTTATGCGTTTCAGATTATTAAAACTGTGATTCAGTAGACACAGTGGATGTTTTGCAATCTGAAAGGCTTTAGGTTTGTAAGTGTGATTACCACTGAATAAAATGTAACCAATGTTTTCTTTTTGTCCATCACTATGAACGCTTTTTTGCCCACTGCAGAATTGTTTGAATTTAGCCAGATTGGACAATTTTCAAGTACGACCCACTTGTTCACAGCACAGCATTTTATTTGGATTTGCTTTGACTGGGTCACTCCTAAACTTGAATTTAGTTTTATTTACTCAGGGATTCTTTGTGAGATACTCTAATTTGTTTGGTGATTTTAAACATTTATGGACGAAAATGAAAAACAGAACGAATTAATCCGGGACACAGATTTTTTCATGGCACCGATTAAAATCCACCAACAGTAGAAGGAAGATTCAGTTTCTTGACATGGTAAGTATCAGTTCACAACCTGTCCACCGTGTCATTTTTGTAAAGTCTTGGACGTCCAGCAGAGCTTTACAGCTTCATTTCAATGAAAGTGACACTAGACAATAAAACTATTAAATTTGATGACGTTAAAATGTCAAAACCCTTCTAATAACCGATGATTATTTTTATTTTAATCTCTCCTTTATATCCAGATTCCATTTGTTTGCGCGGTTTACTTATTCAGCTAGCAAGAAGTCAAGTAGACCAAACGGACCAAATGCTCTCGATCCACCTGCCATCAGATTAAGACATAAATCCCATTGAAGGCTAGCAGAGGCTCTGTGTGGACCCACAGCAAGTAGCAGTGCTGCCAGTTTGAGTGACACGCTGAGTAAGAGGCTAATGTGTTCCTTCCTCCTCCTGCCCTACTCGTCTCCTTGCTGTCCCCCTGATCATTGCTCCCTCTGCTGCCTCGAGGGACGTTCGTTCATCTCGCTCGCTGCCGTTTTCCCATCCCAGAAGGCATTGGGAAAAGCGTGAGATGGAAAGGAGAGGGATGGGAGTTTAAAGGAGTCATCATTCTAAATGCTATGAACACAAGGTCTCCATTACATGCTTCAGTAATCTCTCTTCACTCTCTCAGCTCACAGCCAGCCTTCCACATCCATGCACATTCATACAGTATTACATATATTATGCCTTTACAGTGTGTAGTACACAAGCTGGTGCTCCCATTCGCTGAGGACACACACTGAAACATACAAACCCTTGGATATTGCTGAACTGGTTTTCTATAAGTACTACAAAGCATCCGTTGCCATGCCGTGTTTCCTTTTCCTATCTCCATACTGTGTCTGTTTTTATATTCTTCAGTTTTCTCGACTTTCATCCTCCAGTTGTGCTCACACAGTCATTTTTACCCTCACTTCCACCACCTCAATGA